TAGTTATATGATACTGAACGTTAGGGTTATTATGTGCTAGATTAACTAATTGGCTCGTCCAATGTATTTCTAGGAGGGCAATTAACACTTCATTGTGAAGGTAAATAATGCAAGTAACCGATCGACGTGTGTCAGGTACAAAAAGTTCATATACTTAAGTATAAAGAAAAAAATTGTAGAAGACGTAGAAATTTGACTAACCTTTGACCAACTCCGGTTACGAGATGGTCTGACGTATTCTGACAGTGATATGGATAAAACAGTCCAGAGTAAAGCTTACAGAACATTAATGAGGAAGATGGCTTAACATAGTTAACAATAAGTGATGGATAGAATGTATAAAATGACGATTTTTTAGAAAATTATTTTACGACTATAATAATAATAATAATAAAAGCTTTATTTATGACAAAAGGGTTGTGACATAATGTATACTATCAAGTATACATTTACTGCCAGTTCTCAAAACACCATTAAATATCGTTATTTTGTATAATAAAGATCTACTATCATCATGCTCCTCACACATATTAATGCAATGAAGTAAGTATAATAATTTAAAAAAAATAAAGTTTTATCATCTATTTATTTATTGAATCAGTAGTAGCAGCTTAATATAGTATAGGATATACAAAAAAAGGCATCATAATATAATTGATCATTGCTCTTGTCGAATCACCAAATAGGTATATATAATATCAATAAAGATAAGGTAAATTAATATCAGATATCAAATTCCAAGATAACATTTCCCTTAGAAGTCTATTATTGGATATAAATATCAGAGTAGCAATTAATTTAATAATAATTAAATTAAACCTAGGCCGTGTTTGGAAAATAGAACTGGAAATTTTCATTTGAAATTATTTATAATTAATTGAATCTAAATAAAATGTGTCAAGCACGGATTTTATATTTCTCTTATTGCTTCGTGATTAAGAAGTATCGTGAATCAGAATTGTAGAAAAATTAATAGGATTATTATAATATAAATGAATGTAGGCTAGGCTTTTAAATAATAAATCTATATCTTAATATATAAATTACGTGTCACGTTGTTTGTCCGATATGGACTCCTAAAGTACCGAACCGATATCAATCTAATTTGCACACCGTGTGTAGTTTGATCTAACTTAAAAGATACGATAGCATCTCAATTTATACCCGCAATATTATTTTATTGCAAATTATTTGATAGTCACAATTCTAACAGATGGCGCTGTGTTGATAGTACCAACGTTTCACATAAGCTACAATTTAATGACATTACCACCAAAAACGCATGGTGGTCCCCATGACTGGTGTTCTCCTACCGTTTCCCTTGAATAGTTTACAATTATAACAAAAACCTTAGCCACAGCAACGCTTGGCCGATCTGCTAGTATATATATAAAAAAAATCGGTTGTCTGTAAAGTCGGTTTACTGACGATAGTTGAACGTGACAACGTCATAAAAAATATTGATGGGATGGTTGCATTTAAAAAAAAATTAGTTTTATTTGTTTGATAGGTATTTTGTATGGATATAGAGAAGGAGGTAAATGAAAATCACAATTGAATTGATCAAGTTACATTTATTTGTACGCATAAATACAATTATGTCAATTTTAAATGGAACGCCTCAGAGCGAGGTAACGCCTCAGAGCGAGGTAACGCCTCAGAGCGAGGTAACGCCTCAGAGCGAGGTAACGCCGCATGAGTCATGTTTTTTCGTGCGTGCAACCGGCTCCTTCGAATTATAAGACGTTGTCACGTCAAAATGTTATGTTGGTTTGTGTACGCTTCAAAGACTAAAAAAGTTCTGCACCGATCGAGTTGAAATCTTTGCATGATTTTTTTTGTATTTTTTTTCCACAAGTATTGCAAAAATTAACTTATATGAAATTGTTTTCTTTGTTTTATTTCTCATTTCTTAACCATTCAATAACAATGTGCCACAGCGAAGCGTGGCAGGGAACAGCTAGTATATTATAAATTATTTAAATGCATGCTAGAAAACAGTTATGTGCAACTTGAACAAGAACAACAAACACATTTTTGGGAGTCACACTAGATTCCAAACTTACTTTTTGACATGACAACGTCTTATAATTCGATGGAGCCGGCTGCACGCACGAAAAAACATGACGCATGCGGCGTTACCTCATTATTGTATTTGAAACTCGACATAATTGTATTTATGCATACAAATAAATGTAACTTGATCAATTCAATTGTGATTTCCAATTACCTCCTTCACTATATCCATACAAAATATCTATCAAATAAAATTAAAATTTTCTTTTGAAAAATGCAACCATTGCATCAGTATTTTCTTATGACGTTGTCACTTTCAACTATCGTCAGTAAACCGACTTTACAGACAACCGATTTTTTTTATAGGATAGGGGGGCAAACCAGGCACCCATAAAAGGCAGTTATCTCAGCCTATGGACACCCGTTTTGATGGGTGCGTTGCCAGCATTTGAGAAAGGATAGTGCTCTCTTGAAAACTTTTAAAAAGCATATAGAAACGGAAGCAAAGCTTTAGCTAAGAAGTACGCGGGCCTTCAAAGGGCCTGATAATGTATGGTTTCTAATGATTTTGTTAGATCCAAGGTCGAGTATTGTTCCCTAATTTGGCGTCTCGACTATAATACTCATATCGATAGGATTGGACGTCTGCAAACAAAGGTACTTGATATCTTACTCATTATAGATATATTACTAAAGAGCTGAGCCTATTCAATTTATTGGTACACTTCACCTCGGATACCGTGCACTCTTTTCGAAACAACCTTCACCCGCACGAGGCTGTGGACCATTTCATAGTCAAGGCCTTCTAACCACTTATCGTCCAAGATCGAAGGCTCGACATATTCCACGACTCATTGTCCAGTTTCCGGTCAAAATTAAAGCTGTAGTTAAGCCATATTATTTATTCTTCAGTCTATATGAAAGCGATAAACTGAAAGACTCGAAAGAACGGATTTTTGTACAGTACACAAATAGATGGTGTGATTCCTAAGGTTCGAGAATATAATTAATTATGGTTTTACATTAACTGACTATAAGTCTATACTTATCGATGAAGAGGTTGTAAACAGTTGTTAAATACAAGAGATGCATTAGGGCGAAACTGCGGGTTGAAACTAAGAAGTTTAATATTTAATGTATCGCAAACTATTTGTTTTATGACTACTATTATACTGTAAATTCATTTAAATTTAGTTTAGTACTTATAATATGTTTTATAAGCAAATTTAGCCGCCAAAAAGCGAAATGCACACAACTAATATTAGTACGAGTACCGCGGACATGCAGTTAATTGTGTAAATAAATGAAGCATGCGCCATTGTTTTAGTGAATAATACATCCATTGTAAAGATTATTTATGTTTCCATTATGGGTGGTCACGTTTGTAGTTTCAGCAATAACGAAACCATCATTAATTTCAATTGAATTATTAACTTGCTCAGCGTATTTGAGCATTAGCGTTTGTAATGGCAAACCGTAGGTAAATAAATGATTTATCAATCGTTTATCTCTCAATGACTCACCAATCAAGTTCCAATAGCGATAAAGTATTTATTTAATATTGACGTACGGCGCCTATTACACGTAAAGTATTTACTGTGTAGTATTCGTCAGTTCAGTATTTGTTGTTTGATGTCTGCTTTTAATGATGGATTAATACACCAGACACATGTTCAATATTTATTACGTCAGTATGTAGTCTGATTTCTTGAATACACGTTAAAATAGACACAGAGCTTAAAATTAAAGCTTGTGTTGCTATATATAGCAATTGGTTTTTAAAAAAAAGTTAAACGATGGTCAAAAACTGGTACCTAAAAAGAGAAAGGTACCTTTTCAATTTAATGGCAAAAAGGATGATTAGGAAAATTATTTTCGAATGCCCGATATCAGCTTTGAAGAACTTCTCTCTCTATCTATCTCACCTTAAAAAATATATTGTGTTAGGTATTGAATTAGATCTAATAGACTTGAAAAGTGAACCTATTGAGTTTAAACGTTTAATATTTATCACATTTTGAAGGACCGTCTATACGGAATCAAGAAATACTGTTTTTATTTAGCAAGAAATGGGATTTGTAAAGAGCCAAAATAATTATTAGTAAATTTAACTACAAATAATAAAATCAAAATTATTATTAATTGCTTAATTGGTTCTCAACCGAGATTGTTTGCGTAAAATGTATGAACCGCAATAAATTGATTGAATGATTAACAGTTATTTGAACCCATACAATATCGTACGGAGGCTTGTTCAGAATTCATAGTTTTAAGTGTCTATTAAATGTTGATAATCAGCGTATAAATGGGAAAATAATTTTGAAGTATCTTTTGTAAATACACCTGTTTAAAAGTATTGTAAAATATTTCGAATTGCCGATACAATTCGTTTATAGAAAGATAAATGCGGAGATTAAAGTGAAAGTGTTTTGTACTGTGTAATTATAAAACACTTTATGAGAGAAACATAAAGAGAATACTGTATGTTTTCCGTTAATAGAATGATTAAATGATATAAATTAATTTTATAAAGCATACAGCAGGTGCGAAGAAGTTAAGTCAACATCACCCCTGACTTGTTGCCTGAATTTATTGCACACATCAAAGAATATGCGAACAGAACTGCTTCATGAAACGTTTGGGTTACTTATGTTTTATTAGTTATTTACACATTCTATACTAGATATTTTAAAACGTTAAACTTGTTGAGTGCAAATTAATAATAATGAAAGTGATGTTTATTCAGTGGGTTTGGGTTCTTGTAAATAAATTGAGTCCGAGTTGACAGAAATGTTTGTTTAATTTGAACAGTCTTTCAAAAGGTACCTGTCGAAATACAAACAATACAATCAGTAATCAATTGACAAAATTAAATGAGAAAAAAAAAATGCTTTTATATAATGCAATTTGTTTGCTCAGATTCAATATGGCGATGACAATGTTTTAGCATGTGGCGACAAGATTTGAAAAGAAAAATACACATGCTACAGAATGTGTAGCATGTGTATTGCGGACATGTTGTCGACTTTCAGCTGATCAACCTCCAGAATTCCAAGTTCAACAGATATTCTCTTTATCCAGCACACATCGTCAATCACAGACACCGCAGCTCGATACTCGGCTTCTGCAGTAGAGGTAGCCACTAGACGCTGCTTCTGGGAGTACCAGATGATCGGTCCTCCTCCCAACACTAGCACACCACTCGTCGACTGTCCTGTCTCAGAGTCTCCTCCAAAGTCTGAGTCAATGTATGCCACAAACTCCTTGTCTCCTCCGAAGTAGATTCCAGCAGTTGCAGTTCCTCGCAGGTACTGGAAAACTCGTTTTACCATTGCCTGATGACTCTTCATTGGTTTGTTGCAGAATCGACTGAGGTAGTTCACGGCGAAGCTGATGTCAGGCCTAGTTATTGTAGCGAGGTACAACAAACTCCCTATCGCGAAGCGATAGTTATTGTTTGCCGGAAGTGCCTCATCGTTCTTGAAGTCTGCCTTCTGTGAAACCATTTCTTGTTCAATTGGTGTAGATGCTGGGTTGCACTCATCGAGTTTCATCTTTCTCTCTCTCTTTGCCGTGTAGCGTGGCTGACTCACGAAGATACCATTGTTTTACCATTGTTGTTTTTGTTTTTGTCTTTTATTTCAATATCATGTGTACCAGCTGCTGTTTCTTTAATCTGATCTATCAACGTTCCAAAGTGTCTGCGTCTTTTGCGTTTATTGTAGCTTGGGCATCAGTTTTATACTTTGTTGCTCCACTTTTTTGTTAGTCTTGCCATGTGTGTGTGTCTTGTTTATTGTCAGTTCTTATCTTCCGTTCTACGGCCTTGATTTGTAAACTGGCATCAAATGAAAAGTTAGAAGCATTTAATGTATATTTCTTTTTTGACGTTCATAAGTGTACATTGTGTTACCTATATGAATAAATGATTTTTGAGTTCTGACTTTGTGCCGCGCCCATTTCTTCGTCAAGGAAAAAAAGTCTGCTACCTAGTTCTTAATGCTTTATTTAATTTACCCTTCTCTTCCTTATCATACATAATTCTATCGATCTTAAACACAGCTGTAGTTTTGTATGCTGTGCTTTAGTGAGCGCCCCAGTTTGAGATATACGTATATATGTTAGTACACAAGTATTGAAAAGCTTCCTTTTAATTACCATACAACGAGTATATTATTTTATTGTTGCATCGGTCAAAGATATTGTTTGATCCAGGTATTAGTATTCAGCTTAATATTCTTTAATACTGTTGTTTATTATTGTTTTGTATTATTTTCATTCTGAAATTGGTCATTACTTTAGTTTTCTCGGCATCTAAGACCGACAATACAGGTTTCCGAGTCAAGTTCTGTGACTTCCCTCTTCAATTCATCGCGTGTTGAGGCAAATCAAATCAGGTCGTCTGCAAACCTTAAGTGGGTCAATCTTTCGCGTTTATTAATGGTCCGTATTTATCCCAACTTAGCTTTTATTTCCTCTAGAACTGCCGAAAATAGATTTGGACTGAAAGAGTGAAAATTAAACCGACTTCGAAATAAAAATAAAATTGGCGATATTATAATTTATTAGTAACCACTTGATGAAACCTGGACTAGTATTTAAATCGAAACATACATAAAAATTGTTAATTATTTCGACTATGTGTTTGCGTTCCCACGAGAATGTAAGTGCGTGCTCCTATTTCACCATGCCTCCTGCTGATAGAGGACAACTCTTTGTTTTTAATTTATGTTATTATTATTAATTACTTAAGATGTCATGTGGAACATGGTTTAATGGTTGCAGCTCCTTACAAACGTTGTGTAAAAAAAAAACATGGCGATTAAAAAGAGTGGCGGAGAGTTTATTGCCAGTTCTTCTCTTCCGTTCTACGCCTTTCAATTGAGAACTGGCACTAAATGTAAAATTAGAAGCATTAATACTATGTATTTCTTTACTGACAAGTCATAAGTGTACAATGTGTTACCCATATGATTAAATGATTTTGATTTTTGAATTTTTTTGAAAAAATCTCGATAAGATACGATAAATTTTGAGTGAGTTGTAAGAACCTAACAACCCTAAAAATAAATGAATGACGCTACAACCTTTTTAGGTCTAGTTCTCAGATTTCTGTATCTGTTTCATGATCATTTGTTAATCCAATAGGCAAGTAGGTGATCAGCCTTGGCACGCCCTCGACTTTGTGGGTAAGACAAGCCGTTTTCCTCACGACGTTTTCAAAAACACGATTCGATTGTTTTTCAAAGTCCATTAGTGCACAGCCGGGAATTGAACCTATGACCTTAGGGATAATAGTTGTACGCTGAAGCCTCTAGGGCAACACTGCTCAATGCCCTACAAATAAACAACTATTTTGTTTTTTTGTAGGGCTTTTTTTACACATTAGTGTGTTAGTGAATATATAAATAAGTACGGGATGTCTGCACCGAGATACCTAAGGTAACGGACGGAGCCCTACGGTTAGGATCATAGGTTGAAGGAGGTGGTATTTTCTCAAAGCTATCGGGTAGGCGCACCACGATAATTAAGGGCTTTTAGGAGGAGCGAGAAATGAATAAGACAGAGCAATATTCAAATCTCATTTATTGTAAAAAACATCTTAAGTACTACTTATACCTATCAACACATACATCAAATTACTCTCGTGAGCGTGAATATATCGCGCATCTTCAGCTATTAAGATTTGGAACAGCCACGTGAGACATGTCAGCAGATAGTTTACAACCATCACTTCTGCATAAGGCGTGTAGCAAGAAGTCATGTACTATTTCATTTCCAATATATTCGGGTCGGTTTAAAACAGGTGTCCAATATTATCAGTACAGTAAAACTATGTTTGCAATGTATGAGCTTAATTTCAGATACACTTTCGGGGTTTATTCTCGTTCAATTGTCGCTTCTATTGGATAACTATTCTTTGTCTGTCGGTTTCCCGCGAACACTTCATCTCCATACAAAACGGCGAACTTGCATATAGCGTATAGCTTGTTTAATCTAGGTCCCAGTGTTATTTACTTCCTACTAAAACTTTTAACATCCATTATACTTACACTACTCAACGGAGATTTAAGTGAAAATATTATAATATTTATGTGATGTTGTTCGTGCGCTTCTAGCAACAACATTATAAAGTGGAATATTGCTTACTTATTTATTAAATAATTATTAGTATTATTGATGATATAATTATAACTACTAGCTGACTCGGCAAACGTTGTTTTGCCATTTCTAGGAAACATGTTTTTAGTTAAATAAAACTAACTATCTACAACAATAAAAAATAGGGGTTGTATGTATTTTTATATGTTGTATCATAAAAAAATAAAAACAAAAAAAATGTCCAAAATAAAAATATTTTTTTTGGAGTGGACACCTCTTATCGCTTAGGGGTTTGAAATATAGATAGTAGTCGATTCTCAGACTTCCTGAGTATGCATAAAATTTCATAAAAATCGGTCGAGCCTTTTCGGAGGAGTAAGGGAACGAACATTGTGACACGTGAATTTTATATATTAGATATTCTACTGCAGGTTAATATGACAAAACTTTATTTTTATCATTAATGTAAACATCTTAATCGCGAATCAGTCATATTTATTGTCGATGTTTTGAGTATTTTTTAACAATATTTTTTAGCGAAAGATTCTTCTTGGTCAAGTTAGTTTTTAACATAAAACACAATCTACCTCTGTCTCATCTATCAAACGAACACGAAACACCGTTGTCGACCACAAAACTTCCAAATTTAAAATTTAACCCATGATCAAATATCAAACTTTAACCCACGTTCACGCGATCATTTCACGAATTAATAGCACCCCTAACAAATTGCAGGGTCCAAGAAACATCAGGATATCAGGGCGAGGTCAGCCTGTTTGGACAGTAACAACATCGGGCTGGAAGCCTTCCAACCACAAATCGCGGAATTTATTCGCCTCAACTGTAGCTGCTGCATCTACGTGCCTCGTATATAAAGTGCACTGAATGATGTATAAGTGCTAGATGGGAATTTATGCAGGTCTATTGTCTAGAAGCTTAAACTAGCTCGGCAACACAAAAAAGGTAAGTAGTTCCGCTAGTAGTCAAACAGATATCGTGTGACTTATTACTCTCGTGGATAAGGTTTCAAAATTAGAACTACTATTCTTCAGCGTGCGACTCTCATACCTGAGTTCGTAGATTCGATTCCCGGCTGTGCACCAATGGACTTTCTTTCTATGTGCGCATTTAACATTTGCTCGAACGGTGAAGGAAATCATCGTAAGGTAACCGACATGTTTCCAAAAAGTCGACGGCGTGTGTCAGGCGCTGGAGGCTGATCACCTACTTGCCTATTAGAATTAAAAATGATCATGAAACAGATTCAGAAATCTGAGGCCAAGAGCTAAAGAGGTTGTAGCGCCACTGATTTTTAATTTTTTTTTATTAGAATTGGCAGGTAACGGACAAAAAACGCCAATTAACGTGGCAATAAACTCTCTTACTAGAATAGAAGTTTTATTTTCCTTAAAACTAGGAAAATTTATGTTTCATCTAGATTGCAGTTTTAATATATCCATGTACGTGACACATTTTAGTAGCGTAGTTATTACGAAGTGACTTGAGTATTGAGCGAGAAATAAACTTCTACTGTGTATTAAGAGAATTTATAACTGACGTCACTCATACAATTTTTAAAACTGTTTCGTTAGCGCGTTTCAGGGTATGACGTAAGCGCAGATTGTACATATCGCTACAAATCTATTCTCAGTAAAATTATCTCGTAAGGGGAAGAAAATCATAAAGAACTTCTCTTACATACAAAGATCAAAAACGTACATTAGGCAACGAAATCTGACCTACTTCCCAATAAGGAACAATTATTATCTGTGAATCAAATAGTCGCGATAGATGGCGTTGATGTGGAAACATATAAATCTTCTAATCATAATATCAAATAGTAATCTGTCAACTTGATGTAGAAATCTCTCGCCGATAATGTCACAAAACATAGGTTTTTATTTGTAATAATTTCCTATTTATAACCATCAAAGAAGTTTAATCTGTCAACAGTACCTAATATCAAATAGTCATCTGTCAACTTGATGTAGAAGTCTCTCGCTGTTAATGTCACAAAACATAGGTTTTTGTTTATAATAATTTCCTATTTATAACCGTTAATGATGTTTAATTCAAATGTCTAAATGACCAATAATCAATAATAATAATCTGTCAACAGTACCTAATATCAAATAGTCATCTGTCAACTTGATGTAGATGTCACAAAACATAGGTTTTTGTTTGTAATAATTTCCTATTTATAACCGTTAATGAAGTTTAATTCAAATGTCTAAATTACCAATAATCAATAATAATAATCTGTCAACAGTACCTAATATCAAATAGTCATCTGTCAACTTGATGTAGATTTCACAAAACATAGGTTTTTGTTTGTAATAATTTCCTATATCCGTTAAAGAAGTTTAATTCAAATATCCCAATTTTGGTAATAGACTCAAGGCGATGGAACGAATTCTCGGTACAAATCATTCATAGCGATATTGTGGCGCTT